CCGTCCTCTGGATCCGCCCGAGAGCCCCTCGAGGGCACGTGGGAACCAGTCAGAGGTGGGATGTGCATCGGGTTGCCGCTCGCTTTCACGGTTTGGAAACAACCTGAAAGACAGAATTGACAAGTAGACGATGCTCTGTTTACACAGCGGAGTGCTGTAGGAAGTATCGACGTAGGAGAAGTCCCCCACACAAAACTGAGTGAAAAAAATCAGGTCGGGGAAGAAGAGCTCAGAATGAAGCCGGTTGATTGACTCAAAGCACATTGTCTGCGGACACACATACGTGTGCCGCGGGGATAAACACGAAGTTCAAGATGGCGGGAAAGTGGTTACCTGGGGGTTGGGGCAGAGTCAGGAGGGAGGCTACACGGGGGCTTTCGCTGTATCCGTGATGCTCAATTCAGAAAGTTGTTTTCAAAACACCATCCAGGGACTGTGGGGAAATGGAAAACAGACGCGCTGGCGGTGCGTCACCAGCTACCGCTGGTCTTTGTGTCCCGGGGTACGTGGCGGAGACCGCCAGCTGCCTCCCTGACACCCCTTTTCTTTCTTTCTCACTGATCTATTGGGGGCAGCACGTACCAGCTCAGAAAAGAAAAGGAAACCCTGCCACGTTCAGCCTCCCTCGCGGCGCGGCGGCCACCAGGGCACACGGCGGCCATTCAGCGCAGCCTGTGGGAAGCTCCCCAGGCACAGGGGACAGTGGCAGCCCTGGCTCCCCTCCCCCACCTCTTCCCGCCCATGGGCCCCCTGTGTTCATGAGGAGGATGAGAGCCAGAGTTTGGAGTCAGATCTTAAGGGGAAGAGCAGGAATGTTCCGGAAGGCCACCCTCACCGGGGCTGTTGGATGACTCCAGGGGGGGTGCTACCACCCATGCCAGGCAGACCAACTCGGGGCAGCCCTCGGCCCCCGTCCCGGGCAGGCCCGGCCCCAGGAGGACCGTGTCTTCAGGGCCGCTCTCCAATCTTCCCGATTCGACCCCGGCCAAGTGGCACTGATGCTGCGTCCGGGGGCCTCCTGGGAGCAGCCCAGCTTTGAACGCTCTTCACGGTGGGTGGTGATTGGGTCTTGATTTGCTGAATGATTCAGCTGAGTCACCACCTGCAAACAATATGAGAAATAAAACGCTGGCCACGCTCGGGCGCCCAGCGCAGCCCCTGCTCCCGGGGCCGATGACACGGGCCGCTCCCCGCAGGCGGCTCCGGCACCCCGGGAGGTCCTGCCTGGAAGGGAGCTGCTCGGTGCCAGGCCCTGCACGGGGTGGGCCTGGGGGCTGCGTGGAGGCCAAGGAGGCACGGCGGCAGCACGTTCCACTGGGGGATCCGCCCGCGAGGGGCCTGCCAGGGTCACAGGTGGGGAACAGCGGAGCTGCACCAGGAGCCGCTGGGGCGGCACGCGGCCCAACGGACCCAGCGCTGCCACAAACGCCAGGGGCTCCCTTTACCCCCAGGCAGCCCGCCGGGTGTCCTCTGCACCGCCCCCCGGACTGGCCTGGCCTGGCTACACAGCCTCCTCGCCTTGGTCTGATGGCCCCAGCAGCAAGGCTCGGAGCCCGTCTCCTGAGGGAGGTGCGTCTGTGAGCCTGGGCAGCAGGCACAGGGCTGGAGGCCTGGGGTCAGATGGCATCCGCCTCTGGTGGCCGTGTGATCTCTGTCCCTCTGCTGCTGCGTCTGTAAAGGGGGCATTGTGTCAGTGTGGGGTCCGGAACACAGGACCTCGGGATGTGACCGTATGTGGAAACGGGGACGTTTAAGGAGTTGTTAAATGTAAATGGGGCCATCAGGGTGGGCCGTAATCCAATCTGACTGTGTCCTTGTGGGCGCAGGGACCCCAGGGATGTGCACACACAGGGGACACGGCCAGCACGCCCAGGACAGAAGCCTTGGGAAAAGCCAGCCCTCGATCTTGGAGGTCCAGCCTCTACAACTGTAAGCAGCAGGTGTCTGTGGTTCACGCCCCTCCCTGCGCCCATGGGATCCATTACAGCAGCGGAGCAGACACATACACCGTGGTCCTGGTCGCCCTGTCACCTCCAGGGCTCCTGGCCACAGGACCTGCAGGTTTCAGAGCTGCAGTGTCAGAGCCACACCCGGGCTGCGGGACCCTCTGCAGCAGCTGAGCGCTCTGGGCCCTAAACCCACAGGGGGGCCATCTTATCTGCAGCCGGGCCTCACCCGTGCCTGGTCCCCAGGGCTCGGGGACGGAAGGACCTCACTCGAAAGGGAATCCCACCTGTGTCTTCCCACAAGCCCCTGCTGCCTCTGTAGCCCAAGGCATCTGGAAACAAAGTCAGAGGTCGTCCACCAGCCGCAGGCTCCCTCAACAAGTGAGCCCAGGCCCAAACTCCCTCTGATGGGGAGGGAGAAGGGTGGGCTCAGGAAGGAAAAGTCACAAATTGGTGTCTGGAAATATCCTGTCTCCCTGATGTGACACCTTGGGGGACACTTTCGGATTTTCACGTGTTTCCCTTAGGATCGGGATTGCCGTAAACAGGGTAGTCTTCCGTGTATGAGAATTCTGTTCTATCGTGTAGTAGCGCTGTGCTGGTGTGGCAGCGCCATCGTCATTGGGGACAGGGCTTGTTTTGTCTTTCTGTTTGACCATCCTTGTTGACTAGCTTCCCGAAGTCGCCTCATCACCCAGGCTGGCTGCTGGAGTCAGTCATCACGTCTGCATTCCCGGAAGCAGGAAGGAGAAGGCAGGAGGACAAAGGAGCACATCTCCGAGCTCAGTCAGCTCCCTTTAAGCAGCCTGTGCTGAAGAAGTCTCACACTCCTGCTAACATCGCAATGACCAGGACTTAGTCACCTGAGTGAACGTAAAGGGGCAGGAATGTCACCTTCTATCTGGTGCTTCACTGACCCTCCAAGCATCCTGACGCAGTTACTGAGGGAGGGAAGATGAACATCATGTGACCACCGGTCACCCACAGCCCTGTGTCACTGATGAGGAAAGAGGGTCAGAGAGGCATGATGTCAAGGTCCATGGGCTGTGAACAGCAGGAGGCCGTAAGATTGGAACGTGGAGCCAATATGGTGGACTCGTCATCCAGAGCGCCCCACATCCTGGCCACCCGTCGGCATGAGGTCTGTTCCCACCCAGACGCGGCACACGGGGTGCGGTTCCAGGAGAACAGACATGAGCACGGACCTGTGGAACCACCGAGAATTTGAACAGCACACGGCACCGGTGAGGCTGTGCTCATGGGGGTCAAAACTGGTACAGCCTCTTGGAAGGGTGTGTCGGTTCAGATTAGGTTCGATTATGAGTGAGGGAAAAATCCAAAGTGGTTTAAGAAAGACAGAGGTTTACTTCTCTCTCACATCCAACAGGTCATCCAAAGGAGAAGTCCAGGGCTGTTAGGGGTGCACTAGTGTCGGGGACCTCGTCTGCTTCTACCTTGACGCTCTGCCATGAGAGGCTCCCACTCCAAGATCCCCTGATGATTCAAGATGGCTGCTACAACTCCAGCCATTGCAACCACATCCCAGTTTGCAAGAAAAAAGAGCCGATCCTTTCTCTTCAAGGAAGGTGCACACACACTGACATCCCACTGGCCAGGCCCTGCAAGGAAGGCTGGAAAATGGAGTCTTTGTTCCAGGCAGCTGTGTATCCAGCTACAAGTCACGTGTCCTGTGACAGCGGAAGGAAAGGAGAACACGTACTGGAGGACGGCGATTAGTCTCGCGGAAGACTGGGAGACTAATTAACTCACGAGTGAAGGCTGTGCTCCAGCAATCCCACCTGTGTGAGTTATTTGTAAGGATTTGGGTTGCTGCACTGTTTGTTGTTGCAAAACGTATTAGGAACCAAGGTCCCTCCCAAGGGGACTGGGTAAGTCGATTGCCGCGTATCCAGAACGTTCGCAGCTCTCCCACCTGATGTGGAATGAGCCCAAGACCAGGTGTTAGCGTGGGAAATGAGCTAGACATTCACGCTCCCAAACTAGGGGTGACGTGCATACACGCGTGTGAACACAGGTGCTCCTGGAAGGTTAGGAAGACCCCGGCCTTGCGGTGCTTCTGGGGAGGGGGGCAGGGAGACGGGGTCAGAGCAGCGGAGGTTCCCCCAGCCTCCAGGGTCCACCAGCTGCCCTGCAACGGGCGCCAGGCCTCCTGTGCTGCCCCCTCTACCGAGTCACCACACGGAGCCAACGCAGGCTGCCGCCGTGCCGTCTTAGACGCAGCCCGTCAACGCCGCCGATGGGGAACCCAGCTCTGGATCTGAGGACCAGTTCCTCCCTGTCTGGCCCCCCCACACCTCCCCGGCTCGGAATGCCCCGCTGGCTTCCCTCCCCACCTAACAGGCTTCTGTGAGAGCTGTGGGGTGGCAGCCGGGCCGGGCACGGCGAGGAGCCTGCAAGAGCGCCCTGGCAGCCCCGCGGGCCCCAGAGTCCAGGTCGCTGGCTGTGCCCACACCAGCTGACAGCCCTGGATCCGGGGAGCCTGGCCGCTGGCCCCCCAGTCATGAGTGTGTTGGAGCTGGTGCCCTCGGTGCCCTCCTGAGAAAGAAGGTGGGCAGTGGAGGGGGAGCGCGGCCTGGCCCTCAGCCCCCCAGGGCCCCGGGCTTTATTCGGACCTGTCCCCACTTTCAGCTCATCACATCCATGATTATGAACATCAGTCCCCACATCCTACCTTCCGAGGGCCTACTACGTGCCGAGCACTATTCCGGTCCCTAAAAATAATGCCTGTGGTCACCGTCGCTCCACCACCACGTGCCAGCCAGCCACACCTGCTCTCCGCTAACCCTTACGAACATCCCTGTGAGACAGGCCTTCTTATCCCCATGTCACAGATGCAGAAACGGAAGCTGCAGGAGGGGAATGCTGCCCGGGATAACAGAGCGTGAGGGGCAGACAGGACAGCGCACAGGAACCACGGTTCTTTCCACGGCCGTCCCCTCTGCTCCGACGGGGCCTCGCAGCAGGTACGCCGGGCTCCCAGTGCAGAGGGGCACCCCGGCCCCGGTATCCCCGCACAGCCTTCACGTCAACACCTTCTGCTCCTTTTCCTTTTTATTAGAAAACAGATCAAGAAAATATACACACTTCAGCCCATCCGCCAGAGTGGGCTTTGGGGGGGGGGCGGGCGGAGGCTAAGGGGGATCAGAGCAGTCCTGGGGGCCCAGGCCGCAGGGAGCTGCCCTCAGCCAGCCTAGCCAGGCCTGGCCCTGGGATGTCAGAGTCGGGGCCGAGTCGCCGAGCAAGGGGAGGGCAGGTGGAGGGGGAGGTGGCCCCCAGCTGAAGCAGAGGTGGCCGCAGGCAAGTGGGGGACAGAGGGCGGGACAGGGCCTGCAAGGGGCCGCTGCCCACGCACGGGCCTGACCCCCTGTCCTCCTGGCCGGGGGCTCTGCACTCCCCAGCCGGCCCTCCACAGGCCCCCAGGCCCTCCCGCCCTCCCGGGGCAGCCAGGCTAGGTGTTGATGGCCTTCCAGCGCTCACTGTCCGTGCTGTTGACGCTGCCCGTGTGGCAAGGCATGGAAGCCACATCATCCAGGTAGGCCACCCCCCCGGCCGCGTCGAACTGCGTGCTGGCGGCCACCGCCGCCTCTAGGCCTTCCCGCCGGGCCACCGCATAGGGCTGGGGCAGGTGCACGTCTGGTTCCTCGGTCTCGTCCACTTGGCATTTGTAGGAGAAGAGGATCTTGGGCTCCGAGCTGGGGGGGAGAAGAGAGGCAGGGGAGCCTCACCGTGGGTCAGGAAAGGCCTTCCTCGCTGGGGCTGGGCAATGAAGCATCGGACATGGCAAGAAACGTGCTGACAGCCCCCTAACACCCACCCCGCGAGGCCCCCTTCCTTGCCTTGACGTTGGAGTCCGCTGGGACACCGGTATTAAAAGCGGCCCTCCTGCTGCTGGCATGGGAGCCTGGCGAGCGCCTGCTTTCTCACCGTAAAATGGGTGGAAGGATTTGGACCCGGGCAAATGATGGGCCTTAAAACAGCACCTGCCCACAGTGTGGGGCAGACGCGGGCCCAGACCCCTGCCCCGCAGCACTAACTACTGCCCACCAGGTGCCCGCCTGTCTTCAGTCCTCTGGGTAACTGTCCAGGGAGAAAGCCTCACTCCCCATTTACAAAAAGGAGCCTGAGGCCAGGGAGATGAATCACGTGTGAGGTCATGCACATCAGGGCTGGGAGGATCCAGTCTAGTCCTTCTTGCTCCAGAGCTGAGGCACCCCTGCAGCCCACCCTCAGACCTGGCAGGCAGGGAAGGGGGAGCTGGGGGCAGAACGCCTGCTTCCACCACGTCTGAGTCACAAAAGTGTACCCCACCCCACATTCACAGACACACTGGACTCCCCCCAACACTGCTCCCCACTCCGGTTGCCCCCAGATGGAACACAAGCTCCGCGAGCTCAGGGGTTTGTGTCTGCTTTGTTCCCTGTTGTGTCGGTGGCTGCAGCAGGTGCTGAGGAATGAGCTGATCTATCCTTAAATGAAAAACACAGTGCAGATCAGCAGGCACGGCCTCTCTCACGAGAAAAGTGCACGTCTTTGTGTGTTGTGTACGTAATGTGTTATGTCTGTATTTATATATATCTGTGTGAACCTATGCGTGCCTGTATGGGTGTGGTATATGCATGCATGTGCATATAAACGCATATATGTGTACAAGTTTATGTGTGCGCACATACACGTTACACACGTATACATCTGTATACGTGTGTGTATGTTTATAGGGGCGCATGCATATGTGTGCGCGCCCGAGTGTGCACGTATATCCGCACGCACGTGCATGTACACACATGTACCCTGTCCGCCTCCTCAAGCTCCGGCCCCAGCCTGAGCTGCCCCCCAGCCCCGAGCCCAGAGGCTGGGATGCTGCCGTGGCGGCTGCGCATGCCCAAGAGGCAGAAGGCGTGATCCCGACGGCGGCCACGCGGGGGCGCCCGCAGCCTGGAAGCTGGGGGCGAACAAGCCCAGAGCGCCACCTGGAACCCCGCCCCCCAGTCCCCCTCCCTGCAGCCCCCGCTGGAGGACTCACCCGAAGAAGCCCCGCAGGAAGGCCACGTAGATGAGGGGCGCGAAGAAGCTGAAGTAGAGGAAGGTGGTGGCGTCCACGCAGCTGGGAGGACGGGCAGGTTAGGGTTGCGGCGGAGCGACCCGGCCGGCCCCCGCCCCCTCCCCGCCGCCCCCCGGCCCCCTCCCGGCCACCCCCGGCCCCGGCCGCTTACCAGAGCCCCTCGATGACGTCTGCGCACAGCAGCGCGCTCCCCAGCCCCTGCAGCAGGTTGAGCAGCGCCAGGATGCCCGCGTACACGTAGAAGCTCCTTCGTGCTGCAGGGTGGGCGCGCATGAGGTCCTGCCCAGGTGTCGGGACCGGACCGGCTCCCTGCTTCCCACCCACCCAGAGCCGTCCGCTCCAGGCCCCCGCAAGGCCAACAGCCCACCCCGCGCCCAGCCCCGTCCCCAGGCGCTCACAGGGCAGGGAGATGCGCTCCTTCAGCGGGGTCTTGGGGAGCACGACCACCAGAGAGTAGACCTGCGGAGACACTGGCGCTGACCGGGACGCAGGGAGCTCCTGCCCAGTGCTGAGCCCGCTAGCAGGCCGTGCCCGAGGCTCCGGCCACCCCCCAGCTCACCAGGAAGAAGAAGCAGGAGCTGACGAGCCAGAACTGGCGGCCCCCGTGCCCGTAGATGTTGAAGTCCTCAGCCGACAGGTGGGCATCCGGGTACAGGATCTCCAGCGTGCCCTGCAGCGGCGGGCAGGGGAGGGTCTCAGGGGCTCCTGGACCTGGAACGCCCCGTCCCTGGGCTCCCCACCACACCAAGCCCCGCTCTGCCTGGCGCTCCGTCCCCTGCTCTAGCCAGCTCTCCGGCCACGCCCTGCCCCGCAGCTCCGGCCCTCAGAACAGGCCCGGGGAGGGGCAGCCCCCAAGTAAGAAAGGGGTCTCTGGACGCACGGGTCTCAGTGGGATCTACAGACCTGCACTCTCCCTACCCGGACTGCTTGTTGAAACGGTAGGTTCAACCTACTGGATCGGAATTGGAGAGGCCCAGAACCTGCCTTGTTAGCCAGCAGCCCAGGGGATTCCTTAGCTGCATTTAAAGTCTGAGCCACTGCACACTCAACTCTGACCCAGGGCCCAAAGGCAGTGGATGCCCAGCCCCGGTGACCCCCGGGGCTGCCCTCCCCCACCTCACCTGGGTGACAGAGTAGGCCAGGGCCAGCACCGTGGTGATGGCCAGCACCCGCTTGATGCTCGACTTGCTCTCCAGGTGACCTGGAAGAAACGTGCTGGTCAGTCAGCGGGAGCCAGCCTAGGGAACCACGGTGGGGTCGGCGCCAGCCAGGGAGGGGCAGGGGAGCCCTGGCCGCAGCAGCAGACGCACCAAAGGCAAGGCCCAGGATGACCACGCTCAGCTCGATGGCCAGCAGGAAGAAGCGGGTAATCTCCCACAGGATCTGGACACAGAGCGGGCAGAGCGTCAGCCTGGGGGCCGGCTGCCCCCTCCCAGTGCCCAGCAGCCCTGCCAGCAGGCCCAGCCCCACCTTATCAGCAACAGTCGCAGCATCTGAGGCGCTGACCGTCATGGACACCACGGCCCGGGCGATGCCCACCAGCGCCACCACGAACACCTGGTGAGTGAGAGAGGGGTTGGGAGGTTGGCGTCGGGGGACAAGAGCTCCGGGAATCGCAGGGCCTGCACCCCACACCCCACGTCTGCAGGAGCCCTCAATTCCTCAAGAATGGAAGGATTCCACACTAAACGAGCCGCCTGGGTGGGATGCAGGGAGGCCTGGCCTCCCCTCTGGGCCTTGGCTTCCTGGCTACGCTGACAGCCTGGGAAGGCTTGTTAGGGTGACGTGGTGCAGCCAGCCTGCCGGGTTCTAATCCCAGACCTGCCGCTCGCTGCCTCTGGGACCTGTCTGTGCTGCACCTCATCTACGAAATACAGGGAGACGGCACCCTGGGATCCAGCTGGGACTGTCAGTTTCTCAGTCACTACTACCCCGCCCCCACCCACCCCACCCCACCCCGGGCTTCTGTGAGCTTAAGTTCAGTTTTCTGACACATATGAACAGAAGAGCCCAGATTTGTACACTCTGTCCTTTGTGCCTTGAAAACCATGTCCCATCTCAGGGAGGGTGACACCACTCAGGGCCATGTGCCCACGGTGTGCGGGCCCCCACGGGGCTGGAGCTCTGCGCAATCTCACTGGGTGCTCACGGGAGCACCGCAAACTAAAGGCAGGTCCACGTCACGTCGTGTAGGAGGGCACTGAGGTCCAGAGAGGCCAAGTTGTTGGCCCACGGTCACTCAGCACAGCTGGGGTTCAGAATGCAGTGGGCTTTTTCCCCAGCCCAGCATCCATTCCCCTTCCCTCTAGTAACCATTCCCCAATTTTCTTCCTGGGACCACCACCCCTCCTCAGTCCATACAGTCTGGCTGAGCTGACCCCACCATCCCAGCTCCAAAGTGTCCCTTTCCCTGCTAGTCACAGAGTCTGGCTCAGGGATGAACAGGGTTTCCAAGGTGGGCCACTCAGAGGGAATTGCAGATCAACACTGCAGCATCAGGAAAGAGGTATCCTTCTGCTGGAGTTGGCAGGGAGGTTAGCTCAGAGCTGCTCTTGGCTACCTCTGATACCTTATGGGGAGAACTCATCTGCGATAAGGCCAGAGGAGAGCAGAGATGCAGACAGAGAGACAGTCCTGCTGACATCAGTTAATGCCCTGGATCCAGCCATACCCGAAGCTGGTTTTTCATTACAAAGACAGCTTAAGGCAGTTGGAGTTGGGTTTTCTGTCACCAACTGGAATGAACTCACCAGGATATAGAAGGTGATAAAAATGGGGCTGGAGGTGACTCGAATCTTGGCCCGAGCAAACGGAAGCTTCCAGAGCAGGAAGATGAAGAACAGCACGTTGGGGACGAGCAGCAAGAGGTCCCAGTACCGGACCCTAGCAGGGGGGTGCAGAAGGCGGCTCACTGCTGGGGTTTTGTCTGCAGCCCACCCGGCTCTCTCTCTCTCTCTCTCTCTCACACACACACACACACATACACACACACTCACGCACACTCACACACACACACCCGACCCCGGAAACCCCTCGTCACGCAGCCCGGCACGACTGTGCCGGCCTCACCTAGAGGTGCCGATGTCCTCGTAGAGCAGCAGCAGACAGCGGTGCGGCACACTGATGTTGGGCGCCGGGGGCGGGGCCCCGCTGGCCCAGATCTCCTCCTCCGGGGTGTCCATCCCGCCAGCCGCTGGCCCTGGGGGGTGAGAGCCACCACGTGAGCAGCGCAGGGGCTGTGCAGCCCTGGGCCTCTGGTGGGTGGTGGGCGCCAGCAGGTGGGGGGCAGGTGTGGCGCTCCCTCCCGCCCGGGTCGCAACCCAGCCCCTGACAGGGGCCATTCCTCGCTGTCGGCTCTGTGTCGGGGACCGGACGGCGGCAGCAGCACGTCGCAGGGAGCACGTGGGCCCGGGCGGCAGCGGGACGTGACAGATGCCAGCGTTTAAAACGATGACTGAACAGACTGGGCTCCTGACCCGGCGCCCCCGTTTCTGGGCCATTCGCGACAGCCCCAGGCGGGAGCAGCCCAAGTGCCCCCGTCAGCAGAACTGACACGTCAGCGGGGCGTCCGCGTGGCCGGTGGCACGCCGGCCAGAAATGAGAGTGACTCCTGCCCTGCAGTGACACGGAGGGCCTGGCAGCCGGCCACTGAGCAGAGCCCGGCCAGCTGTGGGCACGCGGCCTGCCCCTACACGGGCACCAGGAGGGGCGCCCTGTGGAGGGCCGAGGGCGCGGGGCCAGCCCTGGAGACACGACCCGGTGGCGGGCACGCTGGCGTGCTCCAGTGTCGCGGTTCATGGAGCCACGCACCTGTGATCCGAGCGATTTTCCGTATGGGTTACGCTTCAGTAGATTTAAAGAAATGGAAAAGATGAATCGTTTATGCTGAGAGCGCAGGTCTCCCGTTCAGCAAGGAGCAGCGCAGGACACCTCCTGCAGGGCTTGCAGCGAAGCAACAGGATCCCGTGCTCGTGCTGCTTTCACGTCCCTGGACAGCAGGCCTGCAGGGCAGCACCCCGCGGGCCAAGCTGTGGAACGAGCGCTGCTCTGCCGAAAGTGGGGAGATTCCGAAGCGGGAGGGCCGGGACGTAGGGCTCAGGATCCCCATCCTTCTCTCCCACAGGCCACCCAGCGGCTCTGGGATGGCGTCCCCCCGGCAGCCTGAGGATACAGCAAGGACGGGAGGTACTGCAGGCGAGAACGTGTGCCTGACACGGCAGGTCCAAGGAAAGAAGCTGGTTTCCTCCCCGTTCCCGCGCTCTGCACCCTTCCACCGGTGCTGACGTGGCCGAGCACCTGCTCTGAGCCGGCAGGTCCAGGTGCCAGGACGCACCTGCCCTCTTGGGGCCCTCATTCTCGGAGGGGAGGCCGACAGCCAGCACGAATACCATCCTTCAAAAGCAAACCTCTCGTAGAGGTAAGTGCTAAGAAGAAAACACAGTCTTGGCCTGTTCAGAGGGCAAAGAGCAGGCTGGGAGAGAGAGGAGAAAGGGCAGGGGCCAGGTCAGCCGGGACCACCGGCACGGTGAGCTCACTTTAAATGCAACAGGAGGTGTAGGAAGGCGGGCGACGCGGCCCCGCTCCCACGTGGAGAGGCTGCCGTGGCGGGGCAGGGAGACCGAGGAGTGCCCGGCCAGGCCGGCGAGGACAGTGGCCGAACCGGCGGGGGCAGCGGGGGAGGAGTGGAGGGATCTGGGACCCCTTGGGGAGGGCTGGCCAGCAAGACCCGCAGACAGACGCACGTTGGGGTGAGGGAAGACGGCAGGGCAGGCTGAGGCCGGGGCTCTGGCCCGAGCCTCGGGGCGCCCAGCCCCGTGTCCCCGTGACACTGCCCCTCTGCCTCGCTAACAAGGTGCCCCGCCGTTGCAGGACCCTCCTTGATGCCCTGCGTTCAGGACAGGGGCCCCTTGCCGGAGCCAGAAGCTGAGCCTCGGCTGCTGTAAGCCAGAGGTTTCGGAGTGGGGGTGGTGTGGCGCAGCGCGGGGCACCTGAGCAGGGCGCAGGGTGCCCATGCGACACAGGGTCGGGGCCCAGGGCTGCCTGACGTCCTGCAGGGACCCCACACGGCAGAGAAGCCCGTGGGGATGAATGGGGACAGAAGCAGGAGGGCCGGATAGAGCGGGGAGGGGGGGCGGTCAGAGGGCTTCTCTTGGCCTTGCCTGTCCAGCACCCTATTTTCCCGTGGGGGCACCTCAGCACCCCAGTCCCCATCCACAGGGTTTAGGTACTGCTGACTCCACCCCTCCACCACTCCAGGGAATGTGCACATTGGAGTCCCACGTGGAAAGAAAGCCAACACAGAGGTGAGACTGATGGAAATAGATCCTGGAGATGGCGCCTTGCGGGAGCCCCTGGATCCAGCCACACCTGAAGGTAGATGCCCGCACCCCAGGCCGGACTTTTCAGTTACAGAATCCAACAAGCTCCCTTTCCTGCGTAGGCCGGTTTGACTCTGAGTTGCGTAGACCTTGCTTGTGCTTCTGGCTCTGCCAGGTTCTTTCTCCGTGACCTTGGGGGAGTCTTTCCCCTCTCTGGGTGTCACAGGACAATAACACCGCCCCCCCCCCCAGCAAGGCTGCTGTAAGGATCAAGCAAGACCAGAGAAGTGAATGTCTACAAAAGGTCACACACAGAAAGGTAACTGCTGCTCTTCCTCCCGGAGGAGGGGCTGGGGGACGTGCAGCAGGGAAGGATCTGGTTCACGGGTCCAAGCGCCACTTGCTACGGAGTCTGAGGTGAGGAAGGAGAGCGTCAGCTAAGCCCCCTCCACCAAGCCCTGCTAGCTCTGTAATAACTGCAGAGAAGGCTCACGGAGCCCTGCCACCCTGCAGGGAGGTGCTTATGTCACCCCCCGCACAGAGCCCGGAGCCGGGCAGCGCAGACTCTCTGTCTCCAGAGCGCAGGCCCCCAACCGGCAACTTGCCAGGGGCCCCTCCTGGGGCCTTGGTGTCTCCACCTGCAGCCGGGTTGGATCCAGAGTGGAGTGTTGGTGAGGAGCAGATTCGGGTCAGGCAGGTCTGGGGGCTGAGAGTCTGCGTCTCCAACACCCTCCCAGCTGGCGCTGCTGCTCTGTTGGCCCCAGAACCGCACTTGAGCCACACCGGAATTGCCACTATGTGTCAAAGCTCACAAAATCACTGAAGCCGCGATAAAAAGGACAATGCACCCTTCCCTGCCCGCGTGCAGGTGAGGCTTTCCACGGGATCACCTGCTGAGCCGCCACACCAGCCTCCAGGAGAGGGGGCTGCTAACATCCCATCACACAAAGCGGAAAGAGGCCGAGACAGGTCCGCCTGTGGCCTGTATTCCCCTCTCCCCACCACAGGTGAGCTCCTGGCCTTGCTGGCAGAAGCCCAAGCAGTGGCAAAGTAAGGGGTGCTCAGGAAAGGGGATGGTGGGAAGGCTGCCTGAGGGCAGGGAAGGGAGGGGTGAAGCCAGACCAGAGGCATGGGGAAGGGAATTCTCAGAGGGCAAGTTCCTGGGATGCCAAGTGCTCTGGGGCACCGTCTGGGGCGTTTCTTCCACCTGGGAAGGACTCTCCTGACCTCACTAACATTCCAGAGGCCTCTTCCCGCCCACCTCCCTCCCTCCCTCCCTCCCTTCCTCTGTGGGCAGGATGCCAACTGGCTAGGGTCCTGCGGGCTGGACCTGCTGTGAGACCCTGGACCAGAAGGACCTTTCCCTCTGTGGGCCTCCGCTTTCCCATCTCTCATCTGTGCAGTGGGTCTGACCACCCAGAGCTACTGGATGGGGAACGCTGGGGCAAACAAAACCCTGAGCAGAGAGGCTGCTGCTTAAACGCCTCTCAGGGCTTCCGACCGGAGCTGGTTGATGAGCCTTAAAACCCTGGAACCGAAACAGGGTGAGGAAGACTCCACAGGACAGAGCCAACCCCCTAATTCTTCAGCCTTGGGGAGGGGGGAGGTGGACCCTGCCAGGAGCCCCCAGGAGGAAGGACAGCCCTGGGCCTTCAAGGTCCAACCTGGCCTCACCCCTGCCAACTGCGCTGACGATTCCCTTCCACTCTGCAGCCCATCTTTCAGCCTGTTCTCCAAGCTGCTGTGCTGTTCCTACCTCAGGACCCCGGTGCGTACTCCTTCCCAGCTGCGGCTCACCATTCGGGCCGCCTCCTCTGAGAAGCCCTCCCTGACTACCTCTGTCTGAAGCGGCCCTCGCTGTGTGTTGTTCAGCCCACGCAACTCATGACCCAGCCCCCCAGGACAGCAAACGTTGTGAGTGGACAGATGAATGTCCAGCAGAGTGCGGCCCAGCCCTTCTGGGGAGTGGGAGGACCGTCTGGGAGGCTCTCGGCCCCGTCCCTACTGCAGCGTGAGGGCAGGTCACTCCTCGCTCCCTATCCAGTGGACCCCCGCCCTCTCGGGCCCGGGGAGCCGGAAGTGGGACTCGGCCACTCGCAGGGACGTCTTCCCGCACGACCTGGATCGCAGGGTCCGCAAGCCCGGCCTCCCCGGGGACCCAGGACGCCGGCCCTCTGCGCCCCCTGCCTGCCTCTGGGCGGGAGGGTCGCTCCCGGCGGCAGGAGCGGCAGGCGGGACGGGGGCCGCCGGGATCAGTTCCCGCAGCTGGGGCAGGAGAGGGGTCCCCTCCTTACCTGAGGCCCCGGCCGCCCATCCGCCGCCGGCCGCGGACCCCGCAAGGCCGCGGGACTCGGCCTCCGGCGCTCGGGCCGGGGAGCGTCGCCCAAGAGGCGCGGGCGGCTGGCTCCCGCAGACTGGGTGGGCGGGCGGGCGGGTAGGGAGACGCCGTCGGGCCCGACACCGCGCGGCCCTTCCGACAGCAGTGACCCGGAAGGCTGGCGCGTCCTTTTCGTTCCGCCGAAACTGCGAAACAGCCACTGTCCCTACTTGCGGCACGCAGGCCCGCCCCCAGTCCGCAGCGGCCTATAGGAATGGGGTTACGCAGAAAAGAGGGCGCACGTAGCGGGAGGAGCCAATCAGATCCCCAGGGGGCGGGGCGGCTCGCCAACCTCTTAAAGAGACAGCGCACGGCACTCTCGGCCGCAAGGGGCCTTGTCTTCAGCTGTCCGCGACCTGCGCACCCCCCCCCCCCCCCTCGCCCGCGACCTTTCTCCCGCAGGCGGCAACCGAGCGTCCGGGGAGGAGCCTCCGCCGCCTGCCTGAGGACCTCTGGTCCCGGGGGACAAGCTCCGCCCGGACCGGCGCGTCCCCCGCGCACCTGTCCTCGCGGCCGCGGTCGACGCAGTGCTGCGCACCCTCCGCCTCACGGCAGCTCTTCAGAACAGCTGTAATTAGTCGCATTTCAGGAGAACCTGAGGCTGAGACGTTAAGTGCTTGACCGAAGCGACAGGACCAGGAAGTGACAAAGCCCAGAACTGGGGTTTGATCCGCCTCCTCTCACCTCTAACTACAGGAAGCCAACTCCTGGAAGCCTTCCTGGATTAACCTCCTGCGTCCCTGCTGTGTTCACTCCTCTTTCCCCTCTCCCGGGTTCCACCATGTCAGGCCCCTCCTGCTTCTGAGTCCTTATCCCTCCCAACATATCCCTCCCACCCGCTCCTCACTGGGTGCTCAAGCCATACTGGTCTCTGTTTCTGTTTTTTGGCTATACCAAGGCTTGTTCCTGCTTGTGGGTCTGCACCTGTCCCCCCACCCCCACCCCGGCCTGGCTCCTGTCACATGACCCCCCTCTCCTGCTTGACACCCTAGCCAAAGTAGCTGTCCAGTCTCTGTCACACAAAGCCCCTTTATTTCATTCCCAGTGTTACCAAAACTGGGTTCGTCTGTTGGTGGACGTCGAGCGGAAAGACACAACCAAGGCAAAGAGCGGGAGAAGGAAGAACTGATCACTTGCAGTAAGTAAGGAGGACATAGGGGACTTTTCCCAAATTCGTGCTTCCCCAAACAACAAAATTGGGGACGTTTTAAGCTAAGGGTACATGCGTATTCATCAAGGGGCTTGGGCAGTCTAAGTTTTAGTTAATTGAAGTCATGAGGCTCAGAGGTGGTCACCGTCATCCTCCCTTAGGGTCCAGTTGATCTGGTGGTTGAGCTCTTCAGGCTAATTTTTGCCATTGAATCACAACAGGGAATCTTTACAACTGATACGTTGTCTAGCGTTGTTACTTCTCTCACCTGATAACAGTTTGTTTCTGCATTCTTTTGCTCCTTTAAGATCATTCATTACTGAGACCTGTTTAAGGGTAAGCACTGTGGCCAGGCTTCCATCCCAACCAAGCCAAAAATGGCTTCTCTTATGTCAAGAAAGCCATTCCTGGTTCTCTTTCTCGGGAACCACCTGCCCCATCTGCTTACACAGCAGCACAGTCTCTCTAACGGGTTCATGTTCATTTAGTCACTTCCTAGTTCAGCATCAGCCTCCCCCAACTAGAATGGCAGTGTCGTGAGGACAGGGCCATGCTTCTCACGTTCCCTGAACGTGCGGAGGCTGACTCAGGGCCTGCTGCTTGTCGTAGGCACCCACTGATCACAGTAGCCCCAAGATACACACCTCGTGACACCACACTTGTTTCACAGCTGGGCTGGAATGAGACTGCGCCCCAGTCTTTGCCTTGCTCCTGTTCTGAACAAGGGGAAGGTGAGGAAGCCGCTGCCTTGTGACCATCTGGGACCCAGTTTATCTGGACCTTGGTCAGCGTGCAGTTTCTGTATCAGCCATGAGCTGATGCCATGAGGCGCCTGTCTTCCTGAGTGGACAGCTCCAAGAGTTTCTGCCAGGAAGTTACATGCATTCCCCCTGCACACCTTTAATCGGCAAAACAAGTCATAGGCCACTTCTGACCTCCAGAGGCAGGAAACTTCCCTTCCACCCTGTGCCAGGAAGGAGGAGAAATGGAGAATCGGTAACTAAGCCAAATGACCCCCCTCCCTCCATCTTTGTTTTTTTTGAGACAGTACAGACACTTTGGAGCGGGCGTGGGAGGAGGCGGGAGTTTGCTCTTACTACCACCACGCGCAATTCTGCGTTTTGTACGCTGAGTTTTGGGCCCCACGCATAGGTTTCAGTGGGATTTCATTTGTGGAGTAATGAGGGTAGCTATCTCCCCTCCCTCCAGGACAGAGGAGTGCTGACACACTGCAGTGCCCCCTGCACACCAGACAGAGCATGGCAGCAGCGAGCTTCCCTGGATGGTAGTTCAGTAGATGAAGATCTGACTCTCAGGTTCCCTCCCTCGCCTGCACCAGGCTCAGGGTGGTGTTCCTCCCGAGGCATGGCTGACAGGAGGAGATGGTGCTGCAGAACCGCTCCCTAAATAATAGACACAAGTGCTTGGCTCAGCAGCCGGACCACGAGGCAGAGGCATCCAGCAAGCCCTGCCCAGGTTCGGGCCCGGGCCCGCGGACACTGAGACAACATGGCAGCTGTTGTAAGCTGCTGGATTCCTTCCCTGTCTTCCTCCCGCGCCCCCATCTCAGGTGACGCTGTCACCCACCCAAGCCAGAATCCTGCTGCCATCCTGGGCGCCTCCCTTTTGCTGTCCCCGGTCCTCAGGACCGAGAGACGCCATCTCCTGAATACGTCTTGGCTATTTCCCCTCCTTGTCATCGCTCCCGCCCCTACCCGGGGCCCCATCCCGAGATGCTTGTTCACCGCACAAAAGTGCCAGCGCAAGAGGGCTGAGATCCAGCCCTGCCCTGCTCGCCTGCCCTAGCCCAGGCCGCCTGTACCTGGACGAAGAATCGCAGCATGCTCATCCCTCTGTATCCTTGGGAGATTGGTTTCAGGCTACCTGTAGATACCCAAATTCAAGGATGCTAAAGTCTCATATAAAATGATGCAATATTTGCACGTAACCTGTGTACGTCCTCCTGTACACTTTGTCATTTCTAGATTACTTACAATACCTGATACAATGTAAATGCTATGCAAATAGGTGTAGATGCTGTGTAAATAGTTAGCTGGCCTACAGCAAAATCAAGCTTTGATTTTTGGAACTTTCTGGAATTAAACTTTTTTTCTAACCACCCTGTTGGTTGAATCTGCAGATTTGGAACCAACTGTAACTGCTTCCAACCTGCCTCGATCTATGTCCACCCCTGGCAGCCTGAGGGATTCTCCTAAAACCCACGTAGCTCTCCACTGCCCTCAGGCCAGCTCAGTAGAAAGACTTGGTGATCTTTCGTGACCTGGGCTCTCCAGCCTCAATTTTTGTCCCTTCCTGAACATCACAAGCGGTTTAACTGGAACTAGGAAAGTGCTTGCAGATGCCCACCGTGCCCTGCTCTCCACATCTCTGCGCACGAGGCTCTTGCTACCTGGAACACCCCTGCATCTCGGCTCCCTCGGGGGGGGGGGTAACCCCCACTAGAACGTCACAGCTGGCCTCCTACCATCCCCCGCCTTTCGGCGCTTGAAGGACGCAGCCTGAGCTTTTGGAGGAGTTGACATCACACAGTAAGAAAACGTCAGAAAACAAGGCCCCCAGGCGGCCACAGCACCAGGTCGTACATCTCGACTGGCCCCGCAGCACAGAGCGCGGGCTAGGCGGGGTCTCGGGCAGCGTGGGCGGGGCCGCACGCTCGGGCCCGCCCCCGAGCGCCGGCGTGACGAAAATGGA